TTTTCCTCGGGATATGTTATTGTTACTCGTCTTTGTAGGCCCCCCTACCCCCATCTTTGCGAAAAAATATTTCGTCTGGACAACCACAGGTGGTTGGCGTCCGAACGTGCGGTGTCCGAATGAAATATTTTTTCCATCTTTGCCCTTTGTCACATGTCTATTGTGGGGTATATATAATGATCGACGAAGAAAGCGAAAAAATAAAATAAGAGAAATTCACACCATAAAAGAACACACAAATTTACTTAGTTAAGCAAATTGCCTACGTCCATGGAGTTGCAGAAGATTTTATACTTCGAGGAATTAAACCGCCGATCACGTCGACTTACAAGAAAGAATACACACACTCTCTCTCGCTACCCTTTATCTTTCACCCTCTTTGTCCACCGTAAGTCAAGGAAGAAGAAACATGGAAAGAAAAATGTTGCCTTCTTTCGTAAGCCACCAAGAAGAAGCTTCTTCTTCAGTTGGCACCTCCTTTTGTCCTCTTTCGCACAGCAAAATCACGACCCTTATTTTCGTTCGCGAAGAGGAGGTGTGGTCAGGCAGCGTCGAGAAAATGGGCGGGCTCTTAGTGTCGTGAAAAAAACAAGTTGAGGCCGGGTTTCCTTATGTGTCTCGAATAAATGAGAGCAGAGAGCAGGAGCTTGCCCGGGAGAGCGGGAATAGTTTTTTTTTTTCAAAACCAAGCTCCACATAACAAATCTCCCACTTGGATACTGGTACACAAACTGCATCATCCACTGGTTGTATCATCCTTTTTTCTCGACCGTAATATCTTCCTCCTCTGCAACTCAAAGCTCTTGTCTTAATACCAGAAGCCAACTGAAGTCGATCACAACTTCAGTTTCTCAAGAGTGACATCCTTAATCAACATATCCGAGTCAACATAGTCTTGTACCTCCAAGCTTTTTCCTGGGATACTCAAATATCTGCTTGCAACTCTCACTGCATGGGAATTATGTTGCCTCTGCTGAAAGCCTTTTTACAACAAGTCTAGCCTTGTACATCTTACTGTCATCATGCTTAGTCTTCACCCGGTACACCCACTTGTTGTGCAATGCCTTCTTCCGATGTGGAAGTTCTGCCAACTCCTAAGCATGATTTTTTAGCAGAGAATCCATCTCCTCCTTCATGGAAAGCTTCCGCTTGCTTGAAATTTTATCATGTAAGGTTTCTTCATCTCCATCATCTGTCAGCAGAATGTAGTTCAAAGTTGGAGAGTAACACTGTGAAGAATGTCTAGTCCTTTCTGACCTGCGAACTGTAGTTGTAGGTTGGACTGCTCTGAAACTGACTGCGGAATAACAGAAATGAGTGCTCCATACCCAATCTCCTCGTCACTTGCATCTCTGCCCTGCACTATGACCTCTAGTAAATCATCAAACCTTACAAATTCAAATTCTTGCATTGTTGTTTCAGAAACTGTACTAGACTTGTCCTTATACATATCATTCTCATTGAAAATCACATTAATGCTACTTTTGATATTCCAATTCTAATCATCCCAGAAATGATATCCAAATGTCTCGTCTCTTTAGCTAATGAAATAACATTTCTTTGGCTTAGCCTCAAGTTTACTTTAAGCATCAAGATTAATGAGAATATATGAAAGACAACAAAAAGTTTTAAGGTGAGAAAATTTAACCTCTTTCCCACTCAAAACTTCCTCAGATAATTCAAAGTTTAATGGAACGGATGACCCCTTGTTGATCAAATAAACTGCAGAGCTGACCGCTTCTACTCATAAAGTAGGCGGTAGTCCGACGTACAATCTCATGCTTCTAACCCGATCATTAATGGTTCTGTTCATGCGCTCTGCAACACAATTTTGTTGCGGTGTCCTTAAAATAGTGTCTCCATTCTGATGGCCTGAGCTACACTATACTCCTTGAAACCACTATCAATGTACTCACCACTATTATCAGACTTCAGACATTTCAACTTTAAGCTTGTCTCTTTCTCAATTATGACCTTCCAAGTCTTGAACACATTAAATACATCAGATTTTTGCTTCAAGAAAGAAACCCTTACATTTCTACCGTGATCATCAATGAAAGTGACGTAGTAACGAGAGCCTCTAAGAGATGCTATTGAAGAAGGTTCCCACACATCTATGTATATAAGATCCAACTTTCCCGCCTTTAACGTCCTGCCACTTTTCAAGAGACCGACCTTCTTATGTTTCCTCATAATGCAACTCTCACACATGTTGAAATCAACTGACTTCAATTCTGGTAGCTTGCCTCTGGACTGCAGTTCTTTCATACCCCTTTGACTTATGTGGCTATATCTACAATGTCACAACTCTGTTGTGCTCTCTGCAATAGTAGTATCAACATTGCTAATTAAACCTGTAGTCATATATAACATACCGGTCTTTTTACCCCGAGCCAGTACCAGTGCTCCTTTAGTAACCTTTCAGGTGCTATCTGAGAATACTACTGTCCACACTCATCAAGCTGCCCAACATTAATGAGGTTCTTCAGTTTAGGAATGTGTCTGACCTTTTGCAGAGTCCACTTGTTCTTTTTTGGAATTACAATGTTAATATCTCCAATTCATACCACATTTAAAGCTTCTCCATTTGTCAGATATACTTTCTCAAAGTCACCTGCAACATAATTTCGTACAATTCTTAGTAGAATGTTGTATGGAAAGAAGCTTCTGAATTCAGTATTCAGTCATCAACAAAACTATGGACTGCCAGCAGTAGTGCATCCTACGCTTCTTCAATTACCACATTTGCGCTGTTTTTCTCCGTCTTCTTAGGATTTCTGCAGTTCCTCATTATGTGGCCAGTTTTGCCACAATTCTAACAAGTTGCTTTCTGACCAGGCCTTGATTTGCTTCTGCCTCTGTGCTTTGATTTTGACTATCCCTTGTTTGAGTTTCTGTCTTGTGATCTCTCTATGAAATCAACATTTAATGTTGAACTCGAACCTGAGGGCTCACCAGAATCTTTCCTGCGCACCTCCTCAACCAAAATCAAATCACGAATATTATCATACTTTAGTTTATATTTACTTGAAGAATTACTGACAGCCATCCTCATGTCTTTCCAACTATTTGCAATGAAGCCAATAAGATTAGTGCACGTATCTCATCATCAAATTCAATTTTCACAAACGATAATTGATTTGTAATAATATTGAAATCATTCAGGTGTTTTATAACAGACATAACTTCCAACATCCTCAAATTGAATAACTTTTTCAACAGATATACCTTGTTATTTGCCGACTGCTTTTCATACATACCTGACAGAGCTGCCATGAGATTTTCTGTAGTCATTTCCTTGACGACATTGTGTGTAACGAACCTCGATAGGGTCGAATAATCCTGGAGATTGTCGATCCAACAAATTCCACTCAGTCTCATCCATCATTTTCAATTTTTTCCCCAATAATAGAAGATGAAGTTTCATCCCATAGAGGTAGTCCTTTATTTGCATCATCCAGTAACCAAAATCTGTGTCATCAAATTTCTCGATCCTTGAAACTTTCATTTCATCTCATGTCGTCATTCTTTTCTCAGATCTGAACCAAAGCTCTGAAACCAAATGTTGTCGTATACATAAAAAGTAGAACGATCAACGATGAAGCGAAAAAATAAAATAAGAAAAATTAACACAAAAAAAGAACACACAGATTTATGTGATTCGACAAATTGCCTACGTCTATGCAATTGCAAAAGATTTTATTACTTTGATGAATTACACCGTCGATCACGTCGACTTACAAAAAAGTACACACACTCTCTCTCTCATCACCCTTTGACTTTCTCCCTCTTTGCCCACCGTAAGCCAAGGAAGAAGAAACGGGAAAAGAAAATGGTTGCCTTCTTCCGTAAGCCACCAAGAAGAAGCTTCTTCTTCAGTCAGCTCCTCCTTTTGTCCTCTTCGGCACAACAAAAGCACGACATTTATATTCTCTCGGAAAGAGGAGGCGAGGTCAGCCAGTGTCGCGAAAACGGACGGGCTTTTAGCGTCGTGAAAAAAAATAGGTTGAGGTCGCGCTTCCTTCTATGTCGCAAATAAACAAGAGCGGAGAGCGGGAGATTGCGCGGGAGAGCGGAAACATTTTTTTTTTCGAAACCAGACTCCACATAACAATGTCTATTATTATCCCCACCCTCTAGGCATTATCTTTTTGTCTCTCAACCATTGCTTATTCTATTTCATAGTATTTGAAATGTATCATTACATTGATAAGAAAATAATTCAATACATTTGATATGCATCCAACCAAATAAATATTGAATTTCTAAAATATATGAATTCTAATTAATTTATATTTCTAAAGTATAGACATTTAAAAAATATAACAAAAAGCCCTCTTTATGTAGAGTAGGCTCTTGTGTCTAATGGAGTTGTTTTTTTACTCGTTCAAAACTTATAATAGTGTAACTTTGGTCTTAATTGAATGATAAGTTTATAATTAATTTAATTTAAGAAAAAAAAATATTTTTTTCGTTATTCCCTTTCTTTCACTAAGTTAAGCCGGCTCGAGTTCGGCCCAATAAGTGACTCGTGAACTAAGCTCGATGAGCTAACAATGCAAGCTCAAGCTAGCCCCAATTCGACTTGTTAGCTCGTGAGCCAGCTCGTTTAAGAAAATCTTAATATGAAATATACTTAAAATATATTAAATTTGAAAACTTTATCTTTATAGTATTAAAAATATTTAAAAATAAATATATTATATTTTATTTTAAGTAATTTCTTATTATTTCTCTCATAATTATTTATTTTAATATTATACTATCTTAAATTAGTAGTATTTTTAATTTTTTATAATAAATAAGCCGATTTTAACTTGATAAAATTAATTAAGTTTAAGTTCAAATCCGACTCGACTCTTTTATGTCCTTTTTAAATGAGATCTTCTTCATGACCCGATCAAGGGTCGGGCCTCATAAAGTCCAACCTACCCGATTCGGACCGACCCGCCCTAGGCTTAGTTTTAAAGTGTACCCCGTGTTCCGCCGTGCCCCGTTTTTCGCTCCGATTTCGTCCTCAGTTTCCACCACCTGGCCGCCATCGCTCAAATGAATGGAAGAAACTACGCGCTCTTCAACGTCCCACCTCCGATCCCTGGTTCTTGCCACTTTATTCGCGCATGCCGGTATATCTCGCTCGCTACCTCCTTCATTTCCTTGGTTTCTTCAACCAAGCCATTTACGAAAGAAATCTCAGTGTCATCGATCGACTGCTTCCCTTATCGAAGAAGAATGGATTATTTCACTGCCGGCTTGCATTGAAACGGCTTCAGGGGGACAGAAGCCATGGCGGAATCGGGCTCATTTCGTGGGGGTGGCGTTGGGGATTACAAAACCTTTCGCCAGACCAGTCGTGATAGTTAGTTTCTTCGTTTAACTTCTTCCGTTCTCTTATTTTTGTTATTTTCTAGTCGAATAGTAAGTGTGCTTTGTATGATTTTTCCTCAAAATGGCAAATGTGATATTTTGATGCTAATTGCTGCATTTGAATCTTAAAATTAAGCGTTTAAGCTTGTCCGGAGAGGCATGAAAGATGTGATTGTCAGAATTCATCAATGACGATCACCAAATCGAGCTACGACTTTTCTTTCATCAATCAACAAGAAAGATTCGCTGTTGTTTCGTATTGTTACGCTTTTTTTTAAAATTTTTAATCATGCCAACCAAAGTGGAGAAAATTGAGGATTTTAATTAATTTTATCCATATAATTGGGACATTTGTGATGGGTTCAATGTTTTGGGAAACATTAATATCCTGTTGCAAAAATGGATCAACACCGAAGGAGAGTAATTATAGGTATTGTCCAAAGCTGGTGTTGTAACTTTCCCGTTTCTGTTACTCGAGGAAGGGGAAACAAAGAATTAAAGGAGAAGAAGAAAAGAGAAGTCGGCATCAGAGAGCCAAAGGAGAGGAAGCGAGCAGTCGGAGAGGAGAGGAAATGAAGTGGGTCGAAAGTAGAAGATGAGAATTCATCCTATAAATCGAGTATCAGACGAGAAGACGATCAAAGAGCAAAGGAGGGAGAAGGTGACGGAGGAGCAACGTATTCGAAGAAGTGACACAATGACCGTTTGCTTTCTACTCGAAGGAAGATGAGAATCGTCACATTTCTTCGATGCGTCGAGCTGTGACTGAAGGTTGATGAGAGCCTAGCACTGTGTGTGAAGAACTTTTGCCCTAATTTGCGAGAAGAAGAAGATGCTGAAGGAGGAAGGGGCGTCTCTGTCGAACAGGAGAAAAATTTGCGTATGTAAGACGTACGCAGCCCTGCGTACATAATGAATGTTATATTTATGTTATATCCATATTATATCCACGTTATATCGCTGTAACCTCTATGTAACCTCCATATAACCTACCTGTAATTTACCTGAACTTATAAATAAGTTTCGCGCCTCTATTTTCACATATCTGTAGGTTACATGGAGGTTACAGGAGATATAAAGCGAATATAATGACGATATAATGCAAATACAACCTCAATTATGTACGCAGCTTTGCGTACGTCTTAAGTATGCAAATTTTTTCTGTTGAACAACGAGGAGGAAGTGGGAGGCGCCGAATGTTTGTCAAGTAGTGACCGGGACGAAGGAGAAGTGCGTTCGTGCGGGAGGGGGGAGAACAACGAACTGTGAGGTATGATATACATGTTACTAAATTTATAAATTATAAATTATTAATTGTAAAATGTAATTAAATCAAGTATTAAGTTAAAAAATAAAATGAAATAAAAGTTTCCTAGTAAGAACGGTTAGAGTTTTGATATTATTTAGGCTTTAATTGCTTATTTATTAATAAATGCTATGTACTATAAATATATATATATTTATAAGTCAAATAAGAAAAATGCAAATTACATAAAGTAACTAGAAATTTAAATTAGGAGATCCTGCTTTATTGTCAATATTTGTTAAAAAAAATATAATAACTAAACGACGATAACAATTAGGATAATAATGATAAAATAATTAATATTAAATGATACATGAAAAGGTCAAATAAAGACAAATTACCTTATAATAATAAAATTAATACATAATAAATTAATAATAATTATTTATGCATTTGACTTTCTATTTTTTTTATTGGTGACAAGTGAAGAGAATATTTAGAATTATCATTGATTGAGGTGAATACTTGTATTTTTAAACAATAGTAATAATTTGTTTATTCTAAAAAATATTTGTAGTTGACGATATTTGTGTGTGTTTTGTTCTGATTGAGATATTATTTTCTTTATTAATTATATCATTATGGATGTTGTAGTTACTTACTCATTCATTTTGTGTATGTATTATATAGTATATTAAATTGAATGCGATGAATACATATGTTTATGATGACTGTTTGTATGTGTATGACTGACTATGATGGAGTATACCTTAATGATACTAGTGGGGGAACACTAATGTACCCGTGCACATAAATAAAAAAAATATTGAAATTGAAGTATTTTAAGTGGTATAATTTTTAGACAGTGCCTCCTGTGACGGTTGTACAGAGACATAATAGTATTGATATGTTATTGATATTACAAGAATCTTTGAATAATATTAAATGTTTTTATTGATTTATTAAAAGCTTGACTGACATGCGTATTATCTTTTTTTCTTGTATATTTCTATGGTTTAGGAATATGATTATTCATTAACTTGTTTAGCTAACTGTTATATTCAAACTAATTTTTCAATCAAATTTTAAGTGATTAAAAGATGAACGATAGAAAAAAAAATTTAGAGAAGGCGTGGACAACCAGTAATGAGATAAAATTATTTTTAATGCTTTAATTTAATCTCTTTAGTGACTCTTTCATTTATTAAATTGTAGACGAATATAGAAAATTTAATTCACACAATCCGATTGTCCGTTCTTTCTCTGATTAATTTCAAATCTCGGGCTGGATCGTGACACGTGTCATAGAAAATATTATATGATAAAGTATGGAAAAAAGTACTTAAGAATGACTCAATACCATTTGACTTATACTGACAACAGTTTTGTTTGGGACAACTAGAGCTGTTTGAAGAAACAACCGTGTAAAAACTGCAACAGAAGCTGCTGTAGAGAAACTGTTGTGGATGAAACTGTATGTCTTTTGATTAGTTTAACTGTGTAGCAATTGTGCTGCAGCTGTTTTTGAAATAAATATCATATTGTCTTTTGACACATATTATATATTTAAGCTAACCGTTTCAGAATTAATATAATAACAATAACAATAAGCCTTTATCCCACTAAGAGAGGTTGGTTACATGAATTCTTTTCTCCATTGTCCTATTGAGTGTCATGTTTTCATTTAAATCTAATATATTAAGATCATTTTTTATACAATATGCCAAAGTTTTTTTAGATCTATCTTTGCCTTTCTTAACATAAGGTGAATCTAGAACATCTATTATTCTAACTGGATAATCAAATGGTCTACGTTTAATGTGACGAAACCATCCAAGACACGCTCTCTAATCTTGTCAGCAATCGAAGCTACACCAATCCTTTCACAGATAGATTCATTTTGCATTTTGTTTCTAATAGTCCGTTTGGGGCAGCTTAGAAGTGCGAGCGGCGTTTTCAAAATGCCGCCCTCAGGCTGAGTTCTGAAAAAAGGCGTTTTTGATTCTTTAATAACCGCGGTCGCAGGATCGACCTTGCGACCTGCGTTTTGTTCGCCACTTTTACCTCGCCTGCCCTCGTCTCTCTCGCTTCTATCTGCTCGCGATTCCTTCTTTCTCGCGATGAAAATCATCTTCGTGATACATAGCTGGGATGACAACGAAGGGATCACGTCTATCTGCTTGCAATCCCTTCTCTCCCGCCATGAAAATCTTCTTCGCGCTACATAGTTGGGATGGCAACGAAGGGATCGCTTCTTATAGAGACCACCGAAACTCCCATCTTTCTCATCCTTCCGCACCGCTCTTACCAAGGTAAGAATCTTCGCACCCTACTTCCTCTTCGTTCATCCCAAATTTACTTAAGTCCGCCGATTCGCAGGATATATCGCGAATCAGCGCCACTTTGGGATTTACGGGAGGCTTTTTTTGCTGTTTAGCAGGATTTGGTGTAGAAGGAATGCACTGCAATACTTCTGCAGGAGTTTCTAGATTTCGGGTGTTCAGCCGAAGATGTTTGATTGTTATTTTTTATGCTTTATAAGATTCGTTAATGATGAGATCAAACTTCTAGCAGTGATATTTGCGCTAAGGATCAAAGTTTGGGTGCTAGATATACAAATATGTAAAATTTTTGGGATAAATGGGGAAATTGTCCAATGTGCTAGTTATATTGGTTTAATACCAGTTCAAAATTGGGGCTGGATCAATTTTATAGGGCCTGAACTTTGCAAAGCAGCCCTTGATTATTACATGTATATTTCTGCAAATAAATATATTGTGCGAATGTATGGATAACTTCACATATTATGAGGCATATAAAATAGCTATATCCCCACTAGAGGCTTTTGTTTTTACAAGGATTACTTTAGCATTTTGTTTTTTTTGTTAGGGCTGATTCAAGTGTTTGAAGTTGTAACTTTATTTTTGCCGCATTTCCTTTCTCCCTGCTTGTTGATATTAGTTTCCAATGACCAATGCAGCATCAAATTGTATCTTTGACTTCCAATCTTATATATTATAATGAAAAATTGTGTCTAGCTAATTAAGCATGATAAAAGTGTTATGATGAGGCTTTTAGTGAAAAAATCAGAAGATTCAAAACATATATACACTCTCAAAAGTAGAATTTACTTTTTTGCTTTTGCATTATCGAATATATTGCCAAGACAGTTCTGTTACAAACAACATTACATAACAAGAGCAGAATGATCATTTATCCATAAACAATCCCAAACAGCTAGCAAGCTTATCAGGATAAGCTGCAGCTTATCAGGAGAAGCCGCTTTTCTGGATAAGTTGGATAAGCTGCACATGCCCCAAACAGACCTTAAGTTTCAAGCCACTCATCCATCTAAGCATTCTCATCTCAGTTAAACTTAAAATTATTTTCTTTTGTAAAGGCCAACATTCTGTGCCATAAAACATTGCAGGTTTAACCACCATCTTATAAAATTCTCCTTTATATGTCTGTTGGGAGCAGCTGCAGCTTATTGAATAATCTGCTGATAAACAGCTTATCATGGTAAGCTGCTGATCAACAACTTATCCAGATAAGCAGGTTGTTTGGGGCTGCTGTTTGAAAAAAAAATTGATTTACAACTGTTTGTGTATAAATGACTATTCTCTTCTGTTAAACAATGATGTTTATAACAGAACTGTCTTGACAATATATTCGATACTGTAGAAGCAGAAAACTAAATACAAAACAGTAAATAAAAATTGAAACAGTCCTCACTTAACAGTGAG